CCTTGGCTCATGGCTCTTGGTCTTTACTAGGGCTTTGGGCGCTCTCTCTCTCTCTCTCTCTCTCTCTTAAATGACCTTGACCTCTGACCTTGGTGTGCCTGCTAGGTGGAAAAAAGGAACATCAGCAGCTGCTGAGCTGGCAGCTGGCCTTTTGCTCCCCAGACCTATCCTGGCTTTAACCCAAGGTCAAGAGCTAGGGACACCATTTTCTGCACCAGGAACTCAGGGTTACCCCCCGATGTATGCCCTTGGCACATAGTGGTCACTCAACTTCTGTGTTTGAGTAATGTGTAAATGATTAACTTCTGAGTGAATGAATGATGAGTGAATGTGTGAGTGAATAGAGGAGTTTATTAGTTCTTACCTGGCTTGATGTAGTACTAACTGGGAAGGAAGGAGAAATGGGAGGCCTCCCCCATTAAAACCTGTAGCAGCCCCACCAACAGCATCTGTTCTTTGACTCGATTGGGGACCAAGATGATGTCCAAATTTGACACTTGTCTGCCCTAAGGACCTTGGCCTTTTCAGAGCTACACTTCCAGGGGATCATTTGGGGCAGCCCCAGCCTCCTTTCCTACTCTCCTACTCTGTATTTTCAACCTCATGCTCTAGTTTAGCTCACACATAGCCCATAGGAAGACCACAGAGTGGTTTTCCAATGGGCAAAGCCAAGGGTCTGAGACTTGCTAGGGGCAGGAATATGGGAGCCGACATCTGGAAACTGGATTGCATTCCCTGAGCCAGGGGAGCCCAGCTGGAAGAGAAGGCCAGCCTTTCCTCCAGCTTTTAGAGCCAAGGGATTTCCTTTGTTCTGAGCCCCAATGCCCCCATGGTAGAACGTGCCCGGTCCCATTAGCTAAGACCCTCTCTCTCTCCCAGGAGCCCTGTGAGGTTGAGGCTTTTATGCCAGCAAAGCCATTCTGATCGCCCCACCCATGATGGGGGACAAGCCAATCACATTAGCCATAAATGACCAATGTCCTTAGCTTTTTTCTGGGGTCATATTCTTGGGTCCTGTTCATCTCTGGTCAGTTGACGTCTCTAGTCCTTCCTGTAAAGGTGAAATGAGCATTACACACACACACACACACACACACACACACACACACACTCATGAGGAAACCAAACAACAATCAGTTTCTTTTTATGCATGTGATGAGATGAAATTGTGACCTCCAGCTGCTGTTCTGTCTTGTAAAATATGTCCAAATGTTTAAGAATTTCTATCCT